AACAATGGTTGTGTCATTACCTCTGCACAGCAATCCCCTGAGGAGGGGCCTGTACCCAGGAGTGTGGGGAAACACGGGCCAGCCCTGTTCACGTTGCCCGGATCTCCCGGGGGAACATAATGAATTAAATCCTGCCATACCCAGGAGATCTGGAGGGGAAGCTGGCAGCAGCCTTCTGATGAGCATCCTGCTATAAGCTTTGTTTATAGGACATATCTGAAGAAAGTTAAGCGCCTGCTTTCAATTTTCCTCCTGAGATTAAATGAAGCAAAGGTGGTAGACTGCAGCTGTTTTTTCCTTTCCCTCAGCTAGACTTTTCTTTACCCTGCGTGCTGTTGAAAATCGGACTTGGCCCAGGCATAGTGGCACATGCCTGTAATCCCAGCATTCTGGGAGGCTGGGGGAGGAGGATCAAAAGTTTGAGCTCAGCCTGGGCAACTCAGCAAGACCTTGTCTAAGGAAAAAATTATTTGGGGAATGTAACTCAGTAAGAAGGCCCTGGGTTCAATCCCCAGTACTGGAAAAACAAAGGGGAAAAACATCAGACCTGGCAGTCACTTTCTTTTAGCCTGTGCCAGTCCCATGTAGAGCAGCACCAATAGTTTTAACAACAGTGTAAGAAGACTATCATAATAAAAAGGTTTCTGTGTCTCTTTCTAAAAAGCATAACCACAGCTGTTTCCGGACACAAAGACCCTGAGAGCCAAGCTGTGAGAAGACTGAGTCAGCTGCCCGCCCACAGCAGCAGAAGTCCAGGTGCATCAGAGGAGCTCCTCCCCATTAGAATCTACTTGGCAAAACAGCGAAGACTGGGAAGTTCTCCTCTCCAGCCCCTTTCTTCCTTCCTGGCCCAGGGCTGATGGAGCAGTGACACACAGGTGACTGTCAGTAGGTGAGGCCAGGTATGTTCCAGCTTGGTTAGGAGCACGGTGGGGTGGGAAGGGGTTGACAACCGGAAGTTGTACCAGGCAACCTCTGAGATCAGATGACCATTGAGCCACAACCCTTTTCACTTGGAATCATACAAGGGTGGAAATGGTCTTCCCAATAATTCTAGGTAAACTCAGGCTACCAGAGAATGCTTAGCATGAACGATTGATAGTATATGGCTGTATAAATGGAAGAACAGAGGCAGGCAGAGAAAATGACAAGTCTAAGAGTTAATGTTATAGAAAGTGTACGCACATCCCTGCTGGATGGTTAAATTACAATAGAAGCAATCACTATTCTTTGTCTGAACTCAGCTAGACCCTTAACCCTACTTAAGGAAGTTCCGTGTTAGGAGCACGGCCATGGCAGTATTTAGATCCTAACTGGAAACATGACATGGACTTGATAAGCATCAGGGCTAGGCTGTTAGGGGGTTCCCAGGTACCTGTTTTGGTCAAAGGGATTGAGAAGAGTTGCTGAAGAAGCTTGTTTTCTGATGTTCTCAGGACTACAACCACATCAGCAGGGAGGGTGTCTCTGTTTTTCTCAAGAACCCCAGAAGCATCGTATAATACCTGCAACACAAACAGCAGATGGCAAGTTGTCAAGGTAACCATCCATCCTGGAGACACCAGCAAGATATAAAATTCATCTTGACCAAGCCAGGATTTCAAATCCAGGACACCAGATAAGGGAGGTGCTGGGGCCACAGTGGCACATGACTGTAAACCCAGCCTTCAGGAGGCTGAGGCAGGAGGATTACCGAGTTCAAGGCCAGCTTGAACTGCAAAAAAAGACTTTGTCTTGAAAAAAACAGAACAAACATAAGCAAAGAAAAGAAAAACAGATAAGGGGAAAGTTGTAACTTTGACAAGTCAACAGCTTCTTGTTCAGTTGTCTTTGAAGAATAGGATCCTATCAAAGATAATTCACATCAGAATAATTATTAAAATATATCAAACACTTGCTATGTGAGAAGGATCCACCTTATGAGGGAAACATTATTATCTTCATTTTACTGGTGGGCAGGCAGAGACTTGAAATCAGATTGCATAATGTGAGTGGTAGTCAGGCATCAAACCTGTGCAGTTGAACTCCATTCTCACACCAGCAAACTCTCACAGCCACCCAGGGTACTCATGGGATCGGAATGATCTCTCAAGGATGTTGGCTGAACAGCCTTTGGTTCTCAGAACAGAGGGGATCTAGCTCAAAGAAATCTTAATATCCCAGAAAATCCCTTTTCTCAAGTACAATTAAGGATTTTTTGGTATTGGTTTTTGGTTTTGGTTTTGGTTGTTTCAGTCCTGGGATTAGAATTCAAGAATGCTCTACCCCTGAGCCACATTCTCAGCCTTTTATTTTTTGTTTTGAGACTGGGTCTTGCTAAGCCTCTAAGTTTCCCAGGCTGGACTCAAACCTGGCATTATCCTATTTCAGCTGTCCAGAGTGCCGGGACTGCAGGCATTACAAATAAGCTTCAAATGACAAATGGATGCAGCAATGAATATAGAGTTCAGAGAAAAAGGGGTCTTTTATGATTTAGATCTGAACTCTTTCTCCAAAACCTCATGTGTTCAGTGGCGGGGCTTTGAAAAGGAGATTGGAACGTAAGGGCACTGTGCTCATGAGTTCATAGTTAAGTGTGCTGCTAGGAAGTGGTACTTGTTCAGAAGAGGTGATCATTAGAGGCCTGGCCTGGAAGGGTGTATCTCCCTCCTTGGTTCCTGCCTTCACTCCTCTTTGATTCCTGGCTGCCATGACATGAGCAGCTTCCTTCTCCCTAGGCCCTTCCACTGTGCTGTTTCTGCATTTGAGCCTGACAACCAGGATCTGAAACTGTGAGCCAAGATGAACTTCTCCTCCTTTACATTGTGGGTATTAGGTATTGTGCCTCAGTGACAGGAAAGTGACTAACACAGATTTTGGTTCTGGGAGTGGGACAGTTGCTGTGATTACCTCGCCATGTGGTATAGAAGCCTTTGGAGCTGGTTCATAAGAGGATTTTAGAAAGGTTTGGAGATGTCAGCTCGAGCCCTAGAATATTTCAGGCAGAGATTGATAGGAGATTCTGGTCAGAGCCCAGAAGAAAGAATGACAGTAATGTACACAATAAAGTCTATCCTCATGAAGTTTTAGTTGGGAATAAAAATTCCATTGGCAATTGGACCCCAGGCCACATATTTATGCTCTAGTAGAAAATGTATCTACATTTTGTTCATGTCCTGAGACTGCAGGAGACTGAGACTAAGGGAGATAGGATAATTAATATGGTGGAAGAAACTTCAAGGAAACCCAATATTCAGGCTGTAGCATGGATACTACTTGCTATTTCTAGCAAGATCTATAGTAAACAAATAACAGAGTTCAGTGATTTAAAAAGTACAGTTTCATCAGACAGAAAGTGCCTGCAAAGTTGGGGCAGTGGTGATCATGGTCGCTGAAAAGATGAGTATTAAAAAGAAGCCAAATTTGCTGTGTGTAGTGGTGCACACCTTTAATCCCAGCACTCTGGAGGCTGAGGAAGAAGGATTATCATGGGTTCAAGGCCAGCCTAGGTTACCTAGTAAGTTCAAGGCCATCCTAAACTACATAGTAAGACCCTGTCTAAAAAAAAAAGAAATCAAGTGCTCTGCATCAGGACAGTAGGAAAGTTGACTTGAGGACATGTTAGGAATCAGCAAGCCTGATAGGCTCAAACATGCAAAAGTGAAAGACTTTACTTTAAGACGACAGCCCCAAGGTTCCCTGCTTAAGAAAGTCTGATAAGGAATTGGTTCCTAAGGATTCATTTCACAGTGCTCAGCCATCCGGGGACTCAAAGACCTCTGCAGTCTGGGTCCAAAGGGATGTGGCTACTACTTGAACTGGTGAAAGACCTTGGCATTATCCAGGTGATGCTGGTTTTAGAAGCATATAGAATATAATGCTGTGGGGTCAGGGAAACTACCAATCAGATTTGAAAAGAAGCCTAGGAGGCCAGAGAGTGTATTGCTATCTGAGAGGGCAGTGTGTGAAGCTGTGAGAATGAGGCTAAAATTTCAGTGAAGTCCCTAGGAAGTTGGAGACACCACAAATATGGAACATCTACTGAGGAAGGCCAAAGGCAGTGAACAAAGTCACCCCAAAGAAAAGTCATGAGGCTGCAACTGGCAATGCTGTAGAAGTAAGAACACCAAAGCCCTTTGGAGTTCATATCTCACTATAACTTGTCCCAAGTGCTGGACATGGAACTACAAAATATAATGTCTGCCCTGCTGGGTTTTAGTCTTGCTTTGGTCCCAGTCCTTTTTAATCCTCCTATTTTTCCTTTTAGGAATGGGACTGTTTACCCCATGCCACTGTATGTTGGAAGTGTTTAACTTTCTTTTAGATTTTTCACAGTGGCTCATAACAAAGAGTTTGCCTTGAGTCTCAGAGGAGACTTTAGACTTGGACTTTTCAGCAATGCTGAAACTGTTACAACTTTGGCAACTCTTAGAGACGAACTACATACCTTTTGAATAAAGGATATGCATGAGTCTTTTGGGAGCCAGAGGCAAATGTTATGGTTTAGACCTTGAATATCTCCCCTAAAACCTCATGTGCTCAGAGGTGGAGCTTTTGGAAGGTGACTGAAACATAGGGGCCCTGAGCATTTCTAGATGAGTGTGCTATTAGGGGGTGGGGTCTGGGTCACTGGAGGTGTGACCTAGAAGGGTGTATCTCCCTTCCCTGGCACCTCCTTTCTCTCTCTGCTTCCTGACTGCCACAACATGAGCAGCTTTGTCCCACAGCTGGCCCTTCCACTGTGCTGTTTCTGCATTTGAGCCTGACAACCATGGACTGAACCCTCCGAAACTGTAAGCCAAGATAAACCTCTCCTCCTTTAAGTTGTGGGTGTCGGGCATTGTGTCTCAGCAATGAGGAAAGTGGCTAAGACAGGATCCTAGAAAAGGGAGGAAGGAGAAATAAAGAATAAAAGTGGGCAGGAACAATGGGTCTAAGAGGAGGAGATGGAAAAAGAGGGGACAGGAACAGGAAGCAGAGAGAACAGGGTTGTGGATTAGGGTGAGGTGTGGTATCTCAGAATTGGAGGACATTAAAATGCAGTGAGACATTAATGTTAAGGTAAACGAACTAGTTAAGGGCAAAAGTTGGATTGAAATTTCTGACAAGAATCCAAAATACAAAGTATAAAATACTATATGGAGGGGCTGGGGATTTAGCTCAGCGGCAAAAGCGCTTGCCTGGCAAGCGCAAGGTCGTGAGTTCAGTTCCTGGTACCGGAGAAAAACCAAAAAAAAAAAAAAAGACCCTGTCTAAAATACTATATGGAGAGAAACATAGTCCCTTCTCCTTGTATAAGAATTACCTTTCAGCCAACATCTAGTCAGGTAAAATTAGTTTCAGTGCCGTGATATGAATATAAAAGATAATTTTGACACACCTTGAATCAACAAAATAATCCCCAAAGCCTTGTATTAAACTCCCATCTATTTTCTGGATCCAGGGCTTCAACAAAGCCCACAGGAACCAATTAGCCATAATTCAGTTGGCTCCTCTGGGAGTAATAGGAGCAATGACTTGCTGGCTACAGAGCTAGAGAATTTCCTGAATCAGTCACTAATCTGCTTCAGGAACTTGAAATTGAGACAGAAACATAATGTCTGAGAAGTGGAAATTTCAGTTAACATTGTAAAAGCTTAACATCTGGATAATGAAGCGAAATTCTTCCCCATTCATCTGGGCTTTTCTGGTGGCATGTCAGTGTACGCTAGCTCAGTCTCTAGCACTTTGCTAGAGACTGAGCTGCACTGTGGTGTTAAATTTCCTGCATCATCCAGGTGTCTCCAAATGACTAGAATGTGAACATTCCCTGCGGAACACCACGAAGTCTGTAATATGTTTTCTCTCTGGAGAGCTGTCAGTTGTGGGCCAGCCTTCAGGTGAGCAGCAGATGGTGGCTCTGTGGGCCACCCCAGTGAGATATTGCTTCTATGCCAAGGCAACCTTCAGTGAGCAGAAGCACTGATTAGGGGTTCAAGAGTAATTAGGAGGAGAACGAAATCTGCAAGCACTTTCATGATTGGCACCAGCAAGGCAGTACCGACGCTCACTGTGTGAGACTCAGGTCTCATAACGCCACTCGCCTCACCTTTCCCGCGTAGTGCCGAATGCCAAAGCACAGCTCCACTCCTTTGGGCCGCCAGAAGTATTTGCATCGAAGATTATCTTCAAACTTATCTGTATGGGTTTTCATGTTGGAAAGTTACAATATGAGTTGTTTGCTCTTGCAAATAAAAACATGCTCATTGAGCCACAAGAGACTCAGAATAAAAGTTTTCAAACAATTCTGATATCATCACTGTATGTACAAAGCTGTGAAGACCACCTGCACAATGGGTGTGTCTGATTTGCCTTCCCTTAGTCATTCAGTGTCATGTGCATTGTCAACCTGTGCCCAAAGAGGGCATGTGTGGCTTCCTCTGACAACTCCTAATGGCTGCTAATGGTACCACAAGCTGGTAGCTTTCAAACCATGTGGATGTACCACGGAAAGCAGACAACACAGATTTAACCTTAGTACACTGTGACATTATGAATTAAAGAAAACCACTGAGGATGACAATAAAGAAAACCACTGAGGATGACAAAATGAAAACCACAAGAAGTGAATGTCTTTCACAAATCAATTTTTCAAGTATAAAGTTGAAACTTTCTGTATCTCGCTCACAATATTTGTTTTGTCGCAGTTGACAGGAAAGAAGGGCCTGATGTTCCCCAAGAGCTACTTTTTGCTTTTCTTCCATTGCTACCCCAAATGCCTTGTACCCAGCATACCTACCTCAGGCTCCCCACAGCCACTCCAAGAGATATAGGCTTGGGCTGAAGCAGGCATCAGGCACAGGCTTAGCCCAGATGACTCTGCACCACCACCTCTCTGGATGATTCGACCCTTCTGCAGCCCTTCTCAGTTAGGTCCATGAGGGGCCCCTCCCCTACCCGTAACCAAAGTCTGATATTGCACATGCACAAGACCACCATCTTTTTCTGTGTAACCAGCCTCCCCATAGTCTTAGTGGTCTCGGGCCACACACTGAAGTATAGGTAGGTCCTAGAAAGACTTTTTAAGACATATTCTTGCCTACTCAGGATTTGCATCTTGTGTTAGAGCGTGCTGAACTGGAACGTTAAGAGCGAGGAATACCAGAGGCCACTGGCCCTGAAAGCAGCCAGCAGCTGAAGTTTATGATGCCAACGGTTGTCGGCACTAAAAGCTACCAGCAGCCAGAGCTAGTAACATCAAAGTCTGTTGGTGCCGAACGTTGCCAGCAACTGGGGCTTGTAACACTGAGGAATGCTAGCTGCGAAGACTGGTGGAGCGCAACAGAGGATTGCTGGGAGCCATCAACTCCAGCAGCAAGAAGAGTTCCTGAGGCCTGGTCATAGCTGCTTGCTCCAAGAAGCAAGGAGGGCCAGTAACAGTAAAAGAGCTGATAGCCACGGGTAGAAGCTCAGGGACTGCTGTGGTTTATGTCTACTTGTCCCCCACCATGCTTCCTGTGCTCATAGGTGGAGCTCTGGGGAGGAGATTGCATCCTGGGCATGTGACACTCATCCATGGATAAATGTGATGTTTGGAGGAGGTGGTCACTGGGGCATAGCTTGGAAGGGTGTATCTCCCTTGATTGCTCTCTGCTTCCTGCCTGCCTGCCATGAGCTGCTTCTCCTGTGATGCACCTTTGCCACACCGCCCTGCCTTGGAGCCAGCCACCCATGGACTGAAACCTCTACAAACCGTGAACCATAATAACCTTCTCCTCCTTAGAGATGTAGGTGTCAGGTGCTGTGTCTCAGTGCTGAGAAGGTAACTAAGACAGGGCTATTAACACTAAAAGCTGTCCCTTGCCAATTTATGATTTCTATGAGAAGTGAGCAAGAATTCTCAGCCTATTGGTAATATCTTAGTGGCCTTCCCCTTTAGAAGGGATCTTCCCTTTTAGAAGCCTGGGAAAAAGAGGAAAGACAGCGCTGACAGTTCTCATCAGTGGAGAAGCAGCTCACAAACTGCCTCATGTCAGACTTCCTCCTTCTCCTTCTCCTTCTCCTTCTCCTTCTCCTTCTCCTTCTCCTTCTCCT